CCGTCCCGGTCCCGGTCCCCACCGCTGCCGCCGGGGCCCGGCGTGCTGCCTCCCACTGGGTCAGCCCCCTTCGGGACCCTGCCGCCACAGCGCCCTAGAGGGCCGCCCCCAGCCCAGTCCCTGCCATCGGACCCCGGGGCGCTGCCCCCTGACAGGCTGCCGCAGCCCCGGTCTCCGCCGCAGCCCCGGTCTCCGCCGCAGCCCCGCACCAGGGTGCCCCCACTGAAGGTCCCACCACCTTCAGCAGGCCCAGCGGGGCGCCCCCCCACCGGACCACCCCAGTCCCCGCTGCTGTCATCGGGTCCCAGGGGGCTGTCCCCCACCGAGCCGCCTCTATCCCGGTCGTCGCAGCCACCCCTCGCCGAGCCACCCCCAGCCCGGTGCTTGCCGCTGCTGTCCGCCCCGGCGGTGCTGCCCCAGTCCCGGTCCCTGCAGACTCTACCCACCAGCCGGTCCCCGTCCCCACCGCTTTCACCGGGCCCAGACGCGCTGCCCTCCACCAGGCTGCCCCCATCACAGTCCAGGTCCCTGCAACAACTGCCCACCAGGCCATCCCCACTCCTGCCGAGGGGATCCGGGGTGCTGAACCCAAACGGACTAACCCAATCTGAAGCCACACTGCTGCACCTGTACCGAACCCTGCTACTGCCCTCACGTCCTGGAGTGCTGCCGTCTCATCTATACGACCTCTACACTACAGCTTTGCTTCCTGAGCCACATTCATATGAAATTTATATTAAAATACAAATTTCATGACCTTCTGGCTCCCCTTTCTCATTTATACATTTCATCAACGCTTATGCTGGTCCTGTGCTGAAACTCATTTGGGTCACGCAGGTGACACAAAAGCTATTTCCTTTCTGTACGAGGCAGAACTTAAATAGTGCACAAGTGACCTTCCAGATCACAACAAATGCTCAACGCTGTTCGTACAGGAAAAATTAAAGTTGCAGGCAAATCTAAGGGTGTAGTTCTCATATTCCTTTCAGGCGCCCCAGAGGTTTACACAACCCCTGTGACCCCCCCTGCCAGGCCACCCCCATCCCAATCCCCACCACAATCCCCCACCCAGCCACCCCCATCCCAGTCCCTGCAGCCCCCACCTGCCAGGCCACCCCCATCCCAGTCCTTGCTGCCAGCACAGCTCCCCACAGGGCTCCAGGCCCCGGAGAGCAGCCCCCCAGCACCTCTGCCTGTCTTCAGGAGCATCAGGTGCCAGCTTGCTTTGCAGGACGTGCAGGGCATCACCTCTTTGCTGCCCAATGACTGTGGACGGCAGCCTCGCACAATGCCCACCAAGAGCTGCTGTAGGAATGTCACAAGCCGGGGGCTGTCGGTGCCGCTGGGGCAGCGGGAGCACGCCTGGTTGGTGGCAGTGTCAGCGGGGCGCTGGGCTCAGGTGCGGGCGCTGTTCCTGGAAGAGCCGGAGCTGGCCCTGCAGCGGGACTTCATGTCAGGCTTCACAGTCCTTCACTGGCTGGCCAAGCACGGGGACGGGCCAGGCCTGCAGGAGCTGGCAGCAGCGGCGCGACAGGCCGGGCTGGCCCTGGACGTGGATGCCCGCTCGGGCTGTGGGTACACTCCGCTGCACCTGGCTGCCATACACGGCCACCAGCTTGTCATCAGGGTGCTGGTGTTGCAGCTGGGGTGCCAGGTCCAGGTGCGGGACGGCAGCGGGCGGCAACCCTGGGAGTATCTGGGCAGCTCCACCTCAGGGGAGATCTGGCAGCTCCTAGAGGCACCCCGAGGCACGATTATGTTCCCCACCAAGCCCCTGGCCCGCAGCGTGTCCTCTGTCAGCAAGGTCTCGCTGTCTGCTGGCAGGGCAGCACTGCCTGCCTGCCTCAGGCCACAGCACGGCCACGGGGCAGCATCCCACGGATCCAGCAGCGAGAGTGACTGAGACAGAGCTCCCTGGCATCCCCTGCCAGTGGAGATGGGACCTTGGTGGCCATTGGAAGCCAGGCAGACAGAAAAAAGCTGTGAAATAGACTGAACCTATTGAAGAATGTACTTTTAAATTAATCCAGTGACCTGTTGTCTGAGCCTCTCTGCCATCCCTCCCATTTCTTTCTTTTTTAACCAGTGAGAGGATGCAACAACTCTGCTGGACCCACATCCAAACCCTTGGTAGACAAGTCCTGCACACTCCACAGGGCAGGCACCAGCTTCTGGGTGCAGCCACAATCACCAGCATTAGTGGGACCACGGTTTTGGTGTCTCAAACTCCGGTGTGAAGCTCACAGCCTGGCCCCAACTAGGGTGGAGTGCTTGCTTTTGCTTGCAGCAACAGATTGTTGTTGGTCCTGGGGTTTGCAAAACACTTGTTTACACCACCTAAATTCTGGGGAGCAGCTAAAACAGCTTCCCTTTTTAATCCCAGCAGATTAAGGACAAGTCCTGTGTTGAAAAATGCAGCTGATCAAGGTCCAGCCTTCCAGCAAGTCCTCAGAGAGTGACTAGCTTTGGCAGAGGGTGGCAGCTGGAGAGCCCCGAGTAGGGGAGGGTGTAGCACACCCACTTCATTTCTCAGCCTGTCTTGCCCACCAGCCTGTGAAGAAAGGAATGCAGGGCAGCACTGCAGCCCTGCTCCTCCCCACGACTGCCCCAGGCTGCCCGGCAGCATCGATACCGCCCCCTCCATCCTGCACCTCCAGTCCTTTCCTCACACCACAGGACTGGGAAGTGGTACCCACGTTGTGGTTAGAGCTCCATTCCCATGCCCGGGGCTGGAAAGAGTTACTGCAGGAATCCAAGTTGGGCAGAAAAGGAGCTGCACCACAATACAGGTCCCCAGCTTGTAAGGGGAAGGCAGTTTTATAACCAGAGCTGCATTTCCCCTGAGACCCCAGCCCCAAATTGCCTCTTGGGTGTTTATGTGATGGGAGTGGGTGGGATTTGGGGCCAGGTGCAAGGAAGAGATGTCCGGTGCAGCCATTCCTGAGAGTTTGCAAATAACAAGCTGTCTTTAGGAATCTCACTGGCTTACATGGATCCTATAATGTCCTCAGCTCTCTGGTTTAGCATAAATGAGCTTCTATACAGTCAAAAAATGCAGTAGGTTAATTTTTCACCTAATCTGTCTCTCCTATAGATCCTTTATGGAAGCAGGAAGAGAGCTGAGATACATGGGAGAGGGGTTCATCACTGCCTGGTTGATGCTCCTGCTGCTGGGTGATCCCAGACATAGGACCAGTGGGTGTCAGTGCCGCTGGCTCTGCTTCAGTGGGATGCTCTGGGGCAGACCAGTGCAGTAGGTGGGACTGCTCATGTATTTGAGGCATGTGCCTAAACGCCTGAAGTTTCGGGGAGGAACGGGAATCAGGGCAGCAGAACCTGACCCTTGCATAACACACATGCTGGGGAATGCCTCGAGTCCTTGCTTAAGCATTAATTGAGGTCTCCACTTTGCTTCGGGTTTATTTGAGGAAGGAATTCTTTCCTGCAGAAGGGAAGCTACTCTGCCTGACTCTGTGACCACAAAAGGTTGTGGCCTTTTCCCAGCCTGGTTTTCTCCTTTTACAGGGGAAAGAGCTCAGTAAACCATGGCAGCATTCTGTGAATGATCATTCCCCTCTGAGAAGACAACACAAGCTTGAACTTGTAAGAAATTCAACTCTGATGTGGCCTCTGAGACACTGGCATGGACATCTGGAGAGCCCTCCAGGACTACCCCACAGCAGGAGAAAAAATCCTGTGTATCTCCCTTCCTCTTAGATCCAGCTAGGGGTTATAGCCTAGATCAGCACCATCATGCAAGTGGCTATTGCCTGGTAAAGTGCTGAAGTCTTTTCCACCACATTCAGAGCCATGACCACAATTCACATCATGCACCAGGCTCCCTTGGGAGAGCACTTACTAAAGCCTTCCATGAATCTCTGCTAGCTGCTCTTAAAAGCAACCTGTTGACAGGGGTAACAGGAGTGCCACCAGAGCCTTCACGTACAGCAAGCTTCAGGGAAGAAACCCCAAATGAAAGAAGTTCGTGAGCTGACCAAAGCTGTCTGGTGGGGAGCATACTTTTACCCCACAGCCATCTACAGCTTCCAAAGAATCAAGTTTTCCCCTTACTATCTCCAGCTCTGAGACAAAGACTGAGGAGGACAGTGCTACATTGGGAGGCTCATTTTACAGCCTTTCCATGACCTTTCCCCATGACGCAAATCGAAGTATCTCTCTCTTTTTTTTTCCTGCACACTGTTGCAGACCTTGTCTGTCATCTTTTTCAGAGCAGTTTTCTGTCCCTAGCAGTGTCCAGTTCAGCAGTCTAACAACAAGCTGTGAAGGCATTTTGTGACCACTGTTTGCTCACCTGTAGAGATGACACAGACAAGCTGCTTGCCACAACTTTTAAATTATAAAGCAACACTTAGGAAGTCTGAAATTACAAAAAGCCTTTCCCTACTGGATCCATTCACTCCGATTTATCACTTTAGGATTACTTAGGAGTTCTTGGACTGCTAACATTGGTAATACTGCACAGCTCCTACACCACTTTTTAAAAGTGGTCATTTACTGCTTGTGAGAATAACCAATCTTTTAACTCACAGAACGTCTCATCCTTCAAGTTTCCTGCTGGTGAAATAAGCAACAGACAGGGCAAAACCCATCTCCGGCCCATTGTGGAAGTCAGGGCCAGGTCTTTCATCAGCCGTTCCTGGAGGAATCTGCCACCCTGGAGCACCAGGCAGGCAGGCCGATGCAGACATCACAGCTCCAGTCACAGAATCATACAATCATAGAATCGTCTAGATTGGAAGGGACCTTAAAGATCATCTAGTCCCCCAGTCCCCCAGGAATAATCCACCCCTGGCTACACACACATGCAATCTGAGCATCTCCGTTTCAAAGCGCTCCTGACCTCCTTGCTCCTTACTCTTCAGCCTGCCTGGCCCCTTCCACACCCGTGCCTGCTGCTGTTTCCTCATTGCAGGTAGACGTGGCTCCTTGCCTCACACCCAATCCAGGCATCTGATTTTGCACCACCCTGAAACACAGGACATGTCATGGATTAATGCACAGCAGGACTCTGCCCTCTCCTCTCATTGCTTTTGAAAACACACCTCCCGATTGACAGCTGATGATGATAAAGTCCATCCCTCTGCTCTCCACTGCTTATCTCTAACCAACTGCTTTGTACTCTGAAAGCTACGTCCTTCAAATGAGCAGAGTGTTTTTTCACACAGTAGTCTTTGCCCGTCACATACTGAAAAGCCTGTAAACTCTAAGCCTTACAAATGTATGGTAAAGGTAACCCCAAAAGCACAGTACCCCCCTTCTCACCACCTCCCTGCTCCTGGGGCACATGCTTTCACACCCACTCATTAGATTGCTAAAAGCGGACGGCACAGCAGAGCTGGATGTTGATCTTGATTCATGCGGCTTCTGGTAAGGTTTCAATTATGTTCCCAAATTGTGGCTCTGATTAGATTCATGCTGCAGCCTTTACTAACAGAAGTTGCCCAGGTGAGCTGGCAGTTTGATGCTCAACTATTAATGAAGTGTTTTTGTTAGTCACCAACCGTCCCTTACCTATAGGGTCTTTGCCACTTAAGCCAATAGAAAGGATTCTCAAACCACAGCAGTTGGCAAGACTAGCACTTAAACTAGCAATCATTTACACCGAATGGGGTTAACACAGCACAGAAGGGGGAGTATGTTAATTTGAGTCCAATTCTGTGGCAGATCTATTCTTTGAAGTTATGAAACTCCTCCCACTCAAAGATCAAAGCTTCCCATCTAGAAGCACACCAAACGTACACCAAGCTTCCCAATCTGAGAGCAGCAAGCCGGTCACAAATTATCATGTTTCAATCTTCGTTTTTTACAAGCCTCTGGGCAAGGACCAAATGCTAGAGCAATGGTGGGATCCCAGCTCAAATAACCCAAAAGGCTTTTATGCAATTAAATATTGTTCTTGTGCAAAACAAATGAGCAATACAGCAGAACATTGCTAACTTCAGCTAATGACCAGAACATCCTTTGTATCACAGCACTTTCTGTAGCAATGAGAAAGAGAACTTTTAGAATAAAAAAAACCACCGCAAATGCATTGAAGAGTCCACCACACAAACTTTTTTCTTCTATGACAAACACCATTCAACTTCGATATTTTATATAGAAGTCCACAGGGAGAAGAATGTCTTGCACACTTTTAACAAGTAATGAGACAACTCCAATTGCTACTAAATTCTGTTAAAACTAGATTTTCTCATGACTACATTTACTGTAAGTAGTACCAGATGGCAAGTTAGCAGGGTGGGTTTTACAAGAATGAAAAATGCCAATTAAATGTACAATTTTCTCCAACCTACATTTCCCCATTAAAATGAGAATTGTTAGCCCTTCAGGGGAAAAAAATATTGTCTTTAGAAATGGAGTCAATCTGGAGAGCACTAGAAGTTGAATTCTCAGTTTAGCTAAATTAATATCCTTCATCCCCAATATAAGGCTATTTAAGCAAACAGAACTTGTTTTGTTGTTAATAAAGAAAAAAAAATATTTTAAAATATCTACTTAAACTAATCTAACAAAAATATTTAATGATAACACATCAAAGCAAGCTACCAAAACATTTATCTTCAGTATATATATAAAAAAACAAACAATAATAGCACCATCTACAAAAACCTGTAAACGTACCTAAGAGCACTCATCCCTAACCTACACATCCCCAATCAGAGATACAGCCTATACACCTGAACATAATCATCATTCCTACCCCCTTATATAGCCTCAGTACTGGGCGAGACCTGCTTAAAAGGAGCCTGGGAAAGCTTTGTTCTTATCACACACAGTGGTTTTCTGCTGAGGTTGGAGTCCTGTTGCAGTTTATCTGGGGAGCAGCAGGATGGTAAAGTAAGAAGAAAGAAATGCTAGGTAATTTTCTGGGTATTGTTTTGT